TCCAGCCAAGGACCAGCCAAGGCCAGGCAAAAGACCAGCCAAGGACCAGCCAAAGACCAGCCAAGGACCAACCAAAGACCAGCCAAGGACCAACCAAAGATCAGCCAAAGACCAGCCAAGGACCAGCCAAAGACCAGCCAAGGACCAACCAAAGACCAGCCAAGGACCAACCAAAGATCAGCCAAGGACCAGCCAAAAACCAGCCAAAGACTAGCCAAGGACCAACCAAAGACCAGCCAAGGACCCATCAAGGAACGAATATATGGTTATATTAACCTAATATGAATGTTTGACTTTTTTCCAATGTGTGATATCCTTACAGCTGAACATCAAGCAGCACTCGTTTGTCTTCTCCAACATGTATCCTCCAGCTGCAGTCCTCTCCTTCTCCGTACCATTCAGGCCAGTTTGGGGACAGAATCACTCCTCCTGGACCCGTCAGGTCGCCACCACACTGGGCTGCAGGGGATTGAAAAGGCAGCGTAAACAACAGCCAGTAAGTAGTTGATTTGTATCGAAGACTAGATATACATTTTTTAAATTTTATTTTAGAATAATAAACTAAAACTGGAATCTGTCGAAACACCACAGATAGCATCACTATAAATAGAATGAGAGCTGTCTCAGTTTAAGGAAAAACAAATAGTTTCTGACAGCAGTGAGTTTGAGATTATAATTCTACTGTGGTCAAATAAAGTCAACCCTGACAAGTACTGCAGCATCAGTTTAACAAACCTTGACTGCTGTGACTTCTAAGGTTATTTATCTCTGTTGTTCTGCTGCTTCTTCCAGTAAAGATGACACATATTTGGCAAATTGTCTATGTCCGTTGACAAACTTCTATTTAAAGGTTACAGCAACAAATGTTTTATTATCATTATTTTTCCAAAAATCTATAGGTGTGCCGAATAAAAGTATTAATTTTATTTCTGTAATGGTGCCAAGAAAGATTTGGCTCCAAAAGGAAAAGTAGGTTGAAGCCCCATAATAGTCCATTCACATTGAACACAGAACCTGCAAAAAAAATCTCCAGTTTTTGTA